AGCTACCGCCAGCCCAAGCGAGGCAGACCCCAGCCAACAAAGTGCTGTCTCGCCCAAGTTCCGTTTGTCTTATTGGGTGCCTGAGGCTAAGAGCCGATCCCGAAAAGCGGACCGTCAACCAACGCACCGGCGAACACACACTGAACCGAAATTCAAAGGCCTCGCGTGACAGGTCTCCAGAAGCTCCTACAGGCGTGCTTCTGATCGCTTTTAGGCTCAGTCATCAACCGGAGGACTCAGTAAACCTTGAACGGCAATCAAGGAAGCGACCCAAGTGTCAATCAAAATAACGGCAGATTCTGGCACACGATCAAATCCAAAACGATGGATCTCCCCGACCTCGGTGGCCTTGCTGGACGCTCGCAAAGTCACTCCTTCGAAATCAAAATACAATAACGCGGGTGAATCCCTTAAACGCCAGCTCATCACGAGAGTCTGAGGAATGATCGCGAGAAGTGGTGGGCAGGGAAGTGTAGGTTGCGGCTATCGGTAATAGTCGTAATCTTTTTCGCTTAATCAGGAGTACGGGTTCAAGGAAAGTATGGATATGCACTACTGACGAGCTCTAATAAGAGCGAAACTCGAGTTTAGTGCTTCAGAATGAAACATTTTACTACAAGACTGAGTTGGCCCAGCACCCAGCTTCACTCTAACTGGGGAAGTAATAGAGCCAGTGGATAAGTTTGGTTTATTTGGGCAGCTATATCTCACCTGGTGGACGCGTCGCAGATAAAGTGTCGGCACGCATACAGAAGGCTCGGTTGTCAGTTCCCAACTTGAGACATCTGTGGCGCTGTCGCGACATCAGGCTGTCTGTGAAGGCTCGATTATTTGCTGTAGAAGTTCGGTCAGTGCTGTTATAGGGTGAAGAGACTTGGTCATTACGGAAACAGGATACAAAGAGATTGTCGGTGTTCCAACACCGCTGTCTACGTCGCATTGCACGAGTCTTGTGGAGTAACCAGAAAAACAATGATGAGGTTGAGCGTAGAGTTTTAGGTAACCGCGGTCGTCCACTGGAGCAAGTAGTCGACCTCCATAGGCTACGCTTGTTGGAACACGAGTTGTGCATGTCACCAAATAGGTTACCACGGCGAGCGACGTTTGCGAGGCAAACAGCGGATGGAAAAAAGTGCAGGGCGGTCAAACTAAGACCTGGTATGAGGGTATGAGGGTAAGCACATTTTAGGCAGCAAACCCTTTGGAATACCAAAACATCGGACC